ATGCTCACAGTAGGTCTCTATAGTCGCTGTCGCGTGTGTTCTCGTGATATGTAAGACTTGACTCTATATTCTCGTGTAAAGGAAACTTAGTTACAAAATGAATGGACGGAGGTTGAGACCTCCTTATATCTTGCTCCAGACTTACTGTGTTGTTCACAGCCTAGTGCTAGAACATTTGTCGGAAAATCGGTATGGGTTCGATGAGTAAGGCGGCTCAAAGAATATGGGCGCGATTTTATGAATAGAATAATAATGATATGAATCGGGAGAATATGTGATAAACTGTGGAGAAATAAAAGATGGTCTGAATAAATTGAATTGATTTTAAAATTATCTGTCTTAGTGATTCTTAGACAGCTTATATACATATAATCTTGATAGACCAAATCCAGACTAGATACCATCCATCACTCGTTCCATACTCTAACAATGACAATGAAACGCATGACAGTATACAATATGAGTATGGGGTCAGGGTCGGTGGATGAAAGCCTACACGTGTATCAGACCATACCATGCACTAGTCGAGTCTCAAGCATCAAACATGCTCAATAAGGGAGATATCAATCATCTAGGTTGTGAGTCATGTGTGAGAATCTTAGTTGTTCCAATCATGGGAAACTTCAGACACATAGAGTCTGAATTTCCAACAACATTCCCTTATGATATCATTTCTCTCCTACGAGAAATGACCAGCTCGTTCTCTCTCAGTCCATCAGTCTCTCGCTGATTCCGTTATCTCTATTCCATCTAGTTCTAGTTGGGTCCAGTATACCCACACATGCATCACACATGCATTACACACTAAACACCCCACGGTTTAGTTCCACAGTCACGTACATATGCTATGACGCGACCTAAAGCATGTACCATGGTAAGTTGCATGGATAACACAACACTAAGACACTTTTGACACTGGGTCTTTTAGGTGGACTGCTGAAAGTTTACCATCTTTAGGTAAAGGCCTCAAATGGGGACACCTGAGATAAGTGAAATTTAGCCTCCTCTGATGTGACAGAGAAGGCAATTGATGATCTTAGCATCTGTTGGTAGGTTCGGCTGAGCCTTCTGGGTTGGCCTTTCGTTTTGATCCCCTCATTGAATGACTAAATTTCCTCATTTATTGCCTGGATTGGAATTGATGTTGGCACACCATGAACAACAAGCTTTGGCCAATGGGTCACCCTTTGTGCCTTGTTGATAGGCCATCCTGCAAAAACTGATTCCCACTTGTCCTAGTCTAATAATATTTCGGTTGGGGGTGAGTCCATGCATGTCACCACAACGTTCCCCTTCACAGAGGTATGTACTCTTGAAATGACTCTTTTCCCCAAGATCTTATTGATGCTCTCTCGGATGGAGAAGGCATTGTGGGTGGTCAGTATTCCACCTGCCTATGTTACCAAGGTAATAACATTTTCTCTTGGAAGTATTGCTGGTAAAACACCAGTGGAAGCTATTGGACCTATGTCAGGAATACCAGGTGTTGCTTGACAAACTGCTGGAGCTACTTGACATGTGGGTCTATTTAACACCCTCACACCACTTCTTAGTTGTTGCGCAGGGTTGGATGTTGTAGCTGGGATATTTTTTCCCAGGATTTGAGCATAGGTGGGGGTGTTTGGTTTGAGATGAACTGGTATTGATTTCGGAGTTGATGGCTCACTTGGTTGAGCTGCAGTTTTTGGTATAATATTTGATTGAATGCGACCCTCCTCAGTAAAATTGCGGAAGACCCCAGCAAGATCAAGCACTAAATCTTGCCTCATTTTGTCATCTGTCAAATAATATGCTTTTACGAGCAAACCTCTAGCCTCTTGAATGGCAGATAGGTATGTGTATTGGGATTTTATGGCTGGTTCAGCTATGGTGACAATTTTTCGGGACTTGATGTCACAGTCTAAGCATAGGCACTTGAGCAACCTTATGGTCAGAGGTAGTTTATTTTCAATCTATGGTGAACTACAGATTGAAGAGGATAATAACAGTTACTTTATACATGATTATTATCCAGGCCAATGACACAGTTTTCTATCTGTATATCCGTATCCCATCTCGTATCCCATCTCGTATCCCATCTCGTATCCCATCTCGTATCCCATCTCGTATCCCATCTCGTATCCCTTCTCGTGCCCTATTCTTAGAGGTGTTTGCCAAGTTCTAAGACCCTGCTTCCAAGAATAGTCCCTGCCTAGTTTCATGCTAAGCCTGCGTTTGACAGCGCAGGCTACAGGCAATTACCGGCTTACAAGCCGTCACAAGTTCTCCTCCAAAAATTTTTAGGAAATAGATTGGGAGGTTCTTATAAATATTTTTTTTTATCTTTTAAAAAAAAATTTGTTTGTTTTTACCATGGCGTTTTTGACGCCGTTTATCCAATATATGACCCTCTGCAGGGCCTACGAATTCTCCAGAGCTATCGTTTTCAGGACCATTATTTATCTCTATATTACTGTAAGTAGCCTCGAACCTGTCAAGTGCTTGCATTTCCCTAATGCATTCAATCGGCTCCCAAGTTGGCTCGGCCCAGCCTGTCCATTTTACCAAAGCCTGACGAAAGTTTCCTCTACCGCAACGGATAGATCGCGCTCGTAGGATAGATTCCACTTCATATTCTGGACCTTCGAGGTCATCAATCAATGGTGGGTTTTGGGCGTCGTCTCTAACCTGGCTGGGCAGTGGATCATTACCTGCGCGCTTGACTAATTCGACATGGAAGCGCTTGTGTATCTTTCCAGGGACGTTCAATTCGACTGTCAGTGGGTCAGGTACTGCTGTGACTTCATATTTGGCATGAACCCAGCCCAAATTTTTTGATAGTTGAGGTGTTTTAATGTTCCGCAGGTCTAGCCACACTTTATTGCCCACCTTGAGCTGTTCTGGCTGCCGTCGATATTGATTCGCGTTTTCCTCGTTCCGTTGTTGCGCTGATGCCATTGCGGCTTGAGCAAAGTCTTGGGCATCCCGTAGTCTCTGCACGTATTCACCTGCCGCTCGGCGTCCAGGGTGTTTTGACAGTTCTTCCGTCGATGGGGTTTGTTCAGATATTGGGTCCAGATTGTAACCATGTCGTAAGAAGAATGGACTCATCCCTCCAATTGCTGAGTTTGGCCTCGAGTTTAACGCTAATTGTGTCAGTAAGAGGAGATCCACCCAATTATTCTAAGCGTAACACGTAAACACTCGAAGGTACTTGTACATCTCTTGATTTGCTCGCTTGCTTGCATTAGTCTGCGGGTGATAGGCTGTAGATAATTGCTGTGAAATACCAGCTAGCTTGCAGAAAGTACCCCAGAAATGCCCAACCCAATCACTACCCCGGTCGCTAGTCAGAAACCTCGGGAACCCATAGTACAGGTAATATCTATCAATGAATGTTGAAGCGCACAGTTTTGCGTCCATTGATTTGGTTCCAAACATGAAAACGTCTTTACTCAAGCAATCGGTGATGACCATGACATTTGTGCAGCCGTGTGATTGTGGCAGGTCAGTGACAAAATCAATAGTCAGCTAACTACCTATGCGATCGGGTATTGGTAAAGACCGAAGAAACCCAGCTTTCGCCTCTCACCACACAGTGGTCCGTCCGCAGGTATCACAATTCCGGATAAACTTCTGCACTGAATCCCTAATTTTCGGCCAAAACCATTGTTGTAATATTGTGATGGGCGATCAACAAAACAATATAGTAAAGGAATGGTGGCCGATTACTGTCTATTTTCTTCATACATCTCGGAACTGTCCACCGAGGGGAGGCTACTTAAGGTGTCCCAACTCCCAATGCGCTAACCTCACTATCTATTCTACTACACCATATCCTTGATATTCCGAGTGGGCTCGTCATAGCGAAACTGGGTCGTATCGGCCCATGATTCCATATGAGACTTGCTGCAACAATATCTTGTTTCGATATTTGTTGCAACCCTGTATTTGTATGGCCAAGTTGGACATCTCTTTAGATAGCAAGGCTAATGACGTAATAATGATAAATGTCCGTGCGACAGTCACTAGGAGATAGGCGCAGCCTGTAACATTATCCCCTCCTCACAGTACTTTTTTTTTTTACTTTTTTTTTTTTCAGAGGTAAAAATTTTTAGCCTTTTGCCAGTAACACCTATTCTTGCTCCGACATCTTCTCCCACCTCATCACCAACACCGTACCTTTCTTCAAAGATATCAAGAGCCTCCGTGTCTTCGAGACCTTGGCGCAATTCCCAGTTTGGCTCTTGAAAACCTCTCCACTTTACCAACACCTCCCTTCGGAAGCCCCGACCTTTCTTTCTCTTTTTGGCTCTGAGAATCTTTTCAACAAATTGCTCATTGTCACCATCAGGATTCACAAGCGGTGGTGGTTGCTCGTCTAACATAATTTGAGATGGAAGGGGGTTTTGTGGATCTCGTTTTAACAAATCGACGTGTGTTATAAAGGTAAGAGCTTACGGAGGTTAATTAGCAGAAGGTTTTCGGGTGATCATCGATGAATCAATCTGAACTGCTGATATATTTGATATTCAGAACTATGAGGATTTAGGAAGTAGAGAGTGCTAATTATATACACATCTGAGGTAGCTAGACTCTCGCCTCATTTACCCAAAATAGTATCACGGAATATTCTAGTCTCCTCCATCTGGCAGTACAATCTAGAAACACTTTCTATACAGTGCTCCATTGTTCCTCTACTCATCATGGAGCCACCTGGAAAGTTCTTCCTTCACCCTCAGTGATCATTACCCTCGTGCATCGTAATCCTAGCCATCACCAGTACAACACTCCCCCTGATGGTGAGTACTCTCTAACCATCTCTGTGCGGGTGGAATTGATATAGCTGGTCTATATAAGCTCGTAGATTCGGAATGGTGTAACTTGTTATCATCTGATTGAGAATCTCCCCATTTGGTGATTGTGATCTTCGATTGGTGCTCCTAGTGTGTCATTTGCTGCTTTTCTTTTCTCTCCCTTTTGTGGCTCCTCTAGACCAATGATATAACTCCAGTCATAACATGCCTTTCATTAACTTTTCTTCCTCGAGCTTTATATGGCCGGGGTATAGACTGTTGGCTGTTTTCTTCTTGGCTGAGCTGTATGGACTTAATCCTCTGATTAATATTATTTTATTTATTTTATTTGAAGGTTCCTCTGAACCAGTGATATAACTCTAATCATAACATGCCTTTTGGTTCCTTTTCTTCCTCGAGCTTTATGTAGCCGAGGTATAGGCTGATGGCTGTTTTCTTCCTGATTGAGCTGTTTAAATATAATCCTCTGATTATACTTTATTAATGCTGCTTTTTCATGGTTGTGACCTTCATGTGCTTCTCTATTAAATCAGCCCTTATGTGCCCGCTCTGGATACTGCATGTGACAGTCTTTTCTGGCGTGGTCATGCTTGCAGAGTGTATGTGGATCGTCCGAATCCTGATCTGTATCATCGACTTTCTGGGATATGTTAAGCTCGCGATGTTTCTATTGTTGGTTTCGGTTATTCTCGTCCTTTCTTGCTGCTGCTGCGTCTAAGTATGAGAAAGCATCATTTTCCTCCAGGTCCTATTTTCTTTCCAAGACAATATTACATGCCTCTGCCTTGGTTTCCCTCCATTTATCTAGCCATTTTATCTATGAAAGGCTTCTGAATGGGGGTGGATGCTTGCGACCTCATTAGCTCTGGCTGTAATTTAATGTAATACCTTTGATAAGTATTTTTGGCAGCTGTGTGGCTTTTTACTTTTGTCGAGGCGCTGGATTGCTTTACTTTGTGCTTCGAACTCCCCCTTCATCCATGCTCGTAGGTTAAACTTGTAATGCGACATTATTGCTTCATTATTGGCGATGAATTTCACTAGTGTTGGCTGTTCGATTGCTGAATGATGCGCTGTCGGTCAAGTTAACTCGGCGTATATTGTCGAAGGGGTTCACAGTTGTTCTAATGCACAAATTTATTTCGATAGTCTGATCAGTCAGTTGTAACCTTATCGAGCGCCGGGCTCATAACCTGTTATAAAGGTAAGAGCTTACGGAGGTTAATTAGCAGAAGGTTTTCGGGTGATCATCGATGAATCAATCTGAACTGCTGATATATTTGATATTCAGAACTATGAGGATTTAGGAAGTAAAAAGCGCTAATTATATACACATCTGAGGTAGCTAGACTCTCGCCTTATTTACCCAAAACAGTATCACGGAATATCCTAGTCTCCTCCATCTGGCAGTACAATCTAGAAACACTTTCTATACAGTGCTCCATTGTTCCTCTACTCATCATGGAGCCACCTGGAAAGTTCTTCCTTCACCCTCAGTGATCATTACCCTCGTGCATCGTAATCCTAGCCATCACCAGTACAACAACGTGAAATCTCGGATGTATACCCGATGGGACATCAAGTTCGACTACATTTGGGGATATAACTTTGGGGACGCGATATTTGGCATTAACCCATGACAGCTTTTTACTAAATTGTGGCGTCTCAATATTTTTTAGTTTTAACCAAACAAGGTCTCCCTCTTCAAACCTTTCTTGCGGAAGCCTCTTTTGATTAGATGCTGATTCCATTTGTTGTTGGACAAATGCCATGGCAGCTTGTGCATATTCCTGTCCATCTGTTATTTGCTGTACAAATTCCCTGGCTTTCTTTTCAGGTGCATCGGAATTTTTGGAAGGTGTCAGAGCAGCATGTAGACAGCAGGGCGGAGACAAGGGTCAAAGAGGTGGTGTTCAGGCTAAAGGGCGCCATCCTACATTATGCATGAGATTGGTGCATAACCACTCGGCCAAAAGGCCAGACCAGAATCATAGAACGCTAGATTCTGTTTATCTCCACATATATAGATTATACAGTAGGCAATCCTGACAGAAGGGGGCGGGATTTGTTTGATAGGTTCTGCGTGATAACCGTGTGTGAGGAAAAAAGGACTAAGACCAATGACTGTGTCTCTATTATTAAGAGCTAGCATAGCTGACGGAAGCATATCAGGCCATTTGTACTGAGCGTAGGATATAAAAGATCTAAGGTATGCCAACACTTCCTGATTCATCCTCTCTGTACTTCCATCTGTTTCAGGATGAAACGCCGTGGAAAGACGCTGCTCTATACCTAATAACTTACATAGATGGGTCCAGAAATTTCCAACCCAATTTGAACCACAATCAGAGGTTAAAAATAATGGAAATCCATGAAAACAATAGTGACAGTGTAAAAACCGCTCAGCACAGCATTCTGCTGACATTGAGCTCATAGCCTCAAGGGTGCAACTTTTCAGTAGTTGGTCTGTAATCACCATGAGATATCGAGAATCTTGTCTAGATTTTGCTGGCAGATCCGTCATAAAGTCGATTGACGATTCTGAATGGAAACGACTAGGTATTGGTAGCGGTAGGAGCAATCCTTTTTTCTTTTCTCGCCATACGTGAGATCGTCCACAAACATTGCAATTTTTACAGAAAGTTCTTACCATTGTCGATGCCCCTGGCCAAAAAAAACTCCTTGATAAGATAGCATATGTACTATCACGACCTGGGTGTCCCGTTATATACGAGTCGTGCGTATTTTGTATCAGAGCTGTCTGTAGGGGTTCCCAGTCTGGTACCCATATACGACGAGGAAATCTAAGGACGCCTCTCTCATCAAAATCGCATTCTGAGATTGATACTTTCAGCTTAAGTTCTGTCGGGAAGGCCCGCTCACCATCTCGCAGAGCTTTGTACATGGTTCTTACGCCTTTGTCCTCTATGCAACCTCTATTCCAAAGTATCTGAAGTTCTTCTTTTTGAAAGATACAATTGCCATCGGGCAACTGTATCTCAGTGCCAGATTCTGAAGGGATATTTAGGTAGACTGAAGCTGAGGTGATTTGAGAGGTTACCAACTTGTAAGAGTCGGTATCTATTTTCATCCATGCATCTTTGATTAATTGTACTTGGCGACTCCTCAGCCGCTCGTCGCTTGCACAGCTCGGCATATCTTGTTCCCTGCTTGAAAGTGCGTCTGGTCTCAGCAAATTCTTTTCTGTTCTAAATTTTTGCTTAAAATTAAACTGGGAGAGAGTATGGCTCCATTGAACTTGACGCTTGGACAATTTTCTTGTGGTCATAAAATACTCCAAATTTTTGTGGTCTGAAAAAATTACGAATGCATGCTTGAGGCCCATCAACTCGCCTCTCCATTCTTTTAAAGCCAAGACAACTGCAAGCAATTCTTTATCATAAATCTCGTAGTTGCATTCTGCAGGGCTTAATTTTTTTGAAAGGTATGCTACTGGGCGTAGAACTTTTGCATCGTCGTATTGCGACAAGCACGCCCCCATAACATATCCCGAGCAGTCCGCTTCTACAATTGTCTTTCTATCCGGATCGTAGAGAGCTAGTACTGGGGCCGTAATGAATAGCTCTTTCAGAACATCGAACGAGGTTTGGTGCTCTTTAAGCCATAGGAAAGCGTGATCTTTTTTCGTTAAGTTGATAAGAGGCTGTGCAATTTCGCTGAAGTTGGGGATAAATTCACGGTAAAAATTTGCGAAACCTAAAAAGCTACGAACTCCTTTTCCGGTTGTCGGAATTTCCCATGATTTTATGGCTTTAACTTTTTCAGGATCGACTTTAATTCCTTCACCAGCGCTTATAACAAATCCCAAATACTTTGTTTTCTTCACTGCAAAATCGCATTTATTTGGGTCCAGTTTTAAGCCGGCTATGTCTAGACGTTTGAACACAGATTCAACCTTAACCCAATGATCTTGGAGATCTCCGGAAGTGTAGATAAGAATATCATCAAGATAAGCAGTGCAAAACTGGTCAAGATAATCTCCCAAGGATTCATTTACGTACCGCTGAAATGCAGCTGGAGCTCCTTGTAGCCCAAAGGGAGTGACTAGCCATTCAAAGGAGCCAAACCTTGTCCGAAAAGCAGTTTTTTCTTCGTCTCCCTTCCTAACTCGAAGTTTGTGGAATGCAGCGCAAACATCAACTTTGGTCATCCATGTCGATTTTGATATTGATCTCAGAGTTTCTCTTATCAGTGGTAGTGGGTACCGATCTTTTCCTGTGATTGCGTTCAATGCTCTGTAGTCTACACAGAATCTCAAACCCCCATTTGGCTTTTTAACAAAGAGCACTGGTGCTCCTCCTGGCGAGCTGCTGGCTCTGATCCATCCTTTATTGAGATGATCATTTAGCGTTTTCCTTAAAACTAGGAGTTCATCTCTTGACATTCCATAAAGTGGGCCCCAAGGTATAGATTTTTCTCGACCTTGTTTGTCTCTTTCTAAATCGATTTTCATATCAGAATGTCGATGTGGGGGTAATTTACTTTGTCTGTCTTCGGCAAAGAGATTGGACCAATGTTTTATGGAAGGAGGAAGTGCCCTTCTTATTTCCTCTGATGTTTCTTCGCTTTTTATCTCCAGAGCCTTGTTAAGATCTTGCATTGTAATGGCGAAAATCTTTGATCCTGTTTCCACCTTAGCAAGCTTCATTAGTGAAATAAATTTGCCACTCAATACTTTTTTAGCTGTAGCAACATGGTGTATTTCTTTTTTTAACTTCAATGAGGCCATGTTATTATACCAACCCTTTTCTCTGACAACCTGTCCGTACTTCTGAGAACCAAATCAAATCACTCGCTTCTTTGCAAGATAGACAACATCATTTTGTTCCATCCATGGTTTTCCCAGGATAATATCGTAGGAAAGGTCTTGGATAATATATCCATAGACCTTTTCTCGTCTACCGTCAATATTGAAGTCTGCAAAAGTCAATTTGTTTATTGTTCTTTGCTTCCCATCATTTTCTGCCAGTTGCAAGGATCTTTTTGGTATTTTTATGCGCGGAAGTTCCCATTTCTTCACGATCTCATTAGAAAATGCAGCATAACAGAGACAGCCTATGTCAATCAAAGATTGCACAAAGAAACTTGAATTTAACAGACAATCTATTAAAAATGGAGTACTGTTCAATTTATCTGTTTTTTTAACTAAATCAATGGAAAATGATTCTCCCTTGCTCTAAGCGCGACATTGCCCAGAGCTTACTCTTCCCCCGAAACCTCACTGGTCTCCAACCCTTCATAGTTGACCTTTTCTTCTGCGTTGCTCTGTTTCCTTATCTTTGTGGGGCCTTTTACATAGGCAATCCTTGAAGCGGGATTTTGAGCTGGACCGAATT